ATGGCTGAGAGTGATTGGAAGATTAAAGACCAGAAACCATACACAGAAGGACATGACCAGAACATGTGTCCCAAAGAAACAGGGGAATATTGACATCTAGGACAGTTTGGTGCAACATTAGAGTAGAGTTTTGACAGTCTGTCATTAGAGTAAATGCAACCTGTGGACAACCTTAAACTGGATCAAGCCATGTCTAATGCAGAGAGAAGATGTGTGTGTATACGCTGTATGGTATTTTTCTCAATCATCAGCGTAAAGCAAGGTTTTATGGTCTGTTTCACCCCTGGATATACTCTTAATACTGCAATCTGATCTAATAGCAATCGCCAGTGGTTCGATTGCAATGTCAAACAGGAAGGGCGACAGACAGCAAGCCCTGTCCGTTGGTACCTCTGGGGAGCGAAAAGTATTTCTGAGAGGTCAGGCCGTATTTGTCCTGACTGCAGCAAAGGTGTTGGGTCCATTCGATTCTATCGAATGCCTTTTCAGCGTCAAGGCTTAAAATAACTTCAGGCTGTACAGTTGAATTAAATAATAAATAATCTTCTCATGTTAAAAAATGATTGCCGTCCGGGAATGAAGCCTGTTTGGTCCTCATTAATAATTGTGGGAATTACAGGATCTAATCGTTGTGCAAGGGTTTTAGTTAAGATTTTATAATCGCAGCACAGAAGACGTATTGGCCTGTATGAGCTACACAGTACAGGATCCTTATCTTTTTTTAGTAAGACTGAAATTGTGGCCTGGTTAAGCGTTTGCGGTAATTTTCCATTGGTCAAAGATTCATCAAACAGATTTAAGGATAAGTGCGAGTTTTGAAGAGAACTCCTTGTAAAACTCTATGGGGAACCCGTCCGGACCTGGCGCCCTTCCTGTCTGACATGACCTGATGGCATTTGCGACAATGGCTGCTCTAAAAGTGACTGAGCATCTGGAGAAAGCTTTGGGATATCGAGCGAATCAAGAAACGAGTGAATCTCTGATGAGCTACCATCAGATTGATATAGAGTAGAATTATATTGTTTAAACTGGTCATTAATGACTCGGGGGCTGCGAGATATCGAGTCAGCACCTGTGTCAATTGTTCAGCTGACTGTTGTTTAAGTTAAGTGCAAGGAGCCTCCCCGCTTTTTCTCCATGCTCATAGTATACCTGTTTCGATTTTAAAAAAATGTTTGGCTTTCCATATCATAAGTGTATTAAATTCAGTTTGCAACAGTAATTTCTCCTTAAAAAGATCTGGCGTAGGTGAAAAAGCATAGCGCCTGTCAATATCTGCAATTTTGTCAGCCAGCTCTTTAAGTTGTCTGGAATGCTCCTTATCCCTATGTGCCACATAAGTGATAACTTGGCCCCTAATGTAAGCTTTCATAGACTACCACAAAACTCCCCTTGATACATCCTGTGTGTCATTGATTTCCAAAAAAAAGTCAATCTGATTGTTGAGATATGTTCTAAAATGCTTACATAAAAGTAATTGGGGGTCTAGCCGCCAAGTTCGTCGGGGCGCTACATTGGCTGGCACTGGCACTGGGCTGTGATCTGACAATACTATATTGTGATATTTGCTGTTGGAAATTAAAGGTAGTAGTTGGTTATCGACAATAAAATACAAATCCGGATCATTTAGATCCAGATTAAATGTTTTGAACAACTGGCCCATAGACATACAGAGGGTCTACACGACTGCTCACAGCAGCTCAGTATCTGCAAACATGACATAATACCACTGATCCTACAAAAGGAGCTTTGCTACACGTACCAGACATCTGCTGAGTGAGTATAAATTCTGGATCAGAAGTTTTACTGTTTATTATGTGATAATGATGATTAATTAAGTTAATTACCTAGGAGGTTTTATTATGAAAGATAGACAGTAAGCAGTCACCCACCATTGGATAAATCACTATTCCTTGTACACATTTCTCAGAGGAGACATTCATTTTTTTTCTGTTTGAACCCCTGCTACAGACTTCATTGGAGAAGACTATGCTGAAATCATATCAAAAGGTTTTGCGACTGGCATTTAAGTGATCTGTGTACACTGTATACATGTCATTGTCATAGTAGTTATAATATATAATATAATAGGGGCGGCTGTGGCTCAGGAGGTAGAGTGGGTTGTCCACTAATCGGAAGGTTGGCGGTGCCCTTGAGCAAGATACTGAGCCCCAAGTGCTGTGCATTGGTGGAGGAATGTGTATGAATGTTAGTTTCTGTGTTGTGATGGGTCATCCATCACACTATGAACCTGTGTGAAAGGGTGAATGTGGCATGTAGTAGCGCTTTGAGTTGTTGGAAGACTAGAAAGGCACTATACAAGTACAGTCCATTTACCATTTACCAATATGGAGGATGATAATGATTTTTATGTTTGTGTTTTTCCCTTTTTTGTTTATTTGTTTGGTTTGCGTGTGGTTTTTTTTTTCTTTTTCCTTGTCTTAGTCTGACTTTTTTTGTAAGGTTTGTTCTTGTCTTGGTCTAGTATTTGTGTTTGTGTTATGTACTCTTCTTGTTAAGGGCAACACTGAGTGCATAACCTATATAAACTGAAAATAAAATGAATGGAATAGATTTATTGATTCTATACATGTACTGATAATACTAATAACACAAAGTATTAAAGTTAGATTTATTATCCTTATTATCATTTTGTCATCTGCATTGTAAACACATGGTTGGAAGTGTTGACTTAAGAATCGTTTTCCTATCTTTTGCTCTTTTTTACAAGCTTGTGTCAACGTAGCAGCTTACCTAGAGATGTTGCATTCAAAGTCGATGCCGTCGTGCAGGGAGTCAACAAAGCAGTTGGCTGATCCCAGTGACGACAGAGAGTGTTTGGCCATGTCTGCTCCGTTCATCAGCTTCAGCATCGCCCGAACATTACTGCTCACATCATGCTTAAAGGTGCTGCACGACAACACAGACAAATAACATGAGGTGGTTGGAAAGAGTCCAATTCAAGCAACACATTGTTCAGGTGCAGGTGTGTGTGTGAAGGGACCCCAACTGAATTATTATAGATCTATTATAGATTATAGAATCTTTCAGAATATTTACCTCTCTCTCAAGGTTTTCAAGGCTGTTGCATTAGATTGCATTGGTTTTAACCTAGCTGCACAAATGAAACTGACAACTGAGTGTATATTAATGCTTTTGCCAACAAAGATGCAGTATTCAGCTTACTGTTCACACGCTTTGATAATACCCAAAGTATTCATTTTATGATATTTGAACACTAAAGGTAGCATTACAGCAGATTTTGATGGCATATCGTGATAACACTGTCATAATCATAGTTTTGGCCATGTGTACTATGTCCATTACTCACATGAAAAATTGTCAGTAATGCCATATGCATTTATAGATGGAAAAAAACTCACCCGAGAATAAAACTGGAAGAAATTGTGGAAAATATGAAGTTATTTAGTTTAAGGAGAGCTTCAAGGAGCAGCAGAGAACACAGTATCTACCGTTTGAACTCAGCGGCCAGGTGCTGGGCCAAGGCCTGGGTGAAGCTCTCTCCTCCGATGCTGTGGTCCGTGTGGGTGTTGAGAACCCGGAACATTCCTCCGTTGACCTGCAGCACTGTCACACTCAGGGACGTCCCACCAAGCTTATACACCAGGACATGGCTGTGAACACAAACAATGCACACATTGCAGATCAATATGAGAGCAAATCTTTAAGCCAAGGTGGAAATAATATAAACAAGTATTAACATTAGAACCAAATATTAAATAATCAGTGTTGGGCACTGACAATTATTAATTAGTTACAGCAACCTCTCTAAAAAGTAACTGAATTACTTTACCAATTACTGCATATACAGCTGTATTATTGCATTAATGTTGCTATGGGACCAGTTTATCTGGTTCTTAATAATCTACCATCAGAGGGCAGCAACAACTAGCGTTCCTACCTGTAAGCGACACTTGTTATCAGACAGTAGAGTGCCAAATGAGGGTAGATTTTCCACTTGGTGAGGAAATCTCAGAGTGTCTCAGCAGCCTCACTGGCGGGTAAATGTTTTTACCAAAATGTCACGTAATAAAAAAGTATGCTGAGAGTCCTCTGCTGTCTGTGTCAGAGTCTGACACACACAAGACAGATAATCATCATCACCATCATCATTATTAGTCAAATCTTTACTATCATAGTTTTTACTGTGTATCTCTCTCTCTCTGCTTTCTCTATAGGCTGTACTGTGTATGAGTGTATATGTGAATATAGTTGATGCTATTCTATTCTCTTAGAAGGAAGCTTTTCCTTGCTTGCTCATGGTGGGAACCATTTGGTCTCTCTAAATAATTTTATAAGGAGTATGGTCTAGACCTGCTTTATTTGAAAAGTGTCCTGAGATAACTTCTGTTTTGAATTGGAATATAACAAATAAAATAAAACAATGAAGTTATTTACTTTAAGGAGAGCTTCAAGGGAGCAGCAGAGAACACAGTATCTACCTGTGAACTCGACATTGTCTCAAATGTCTTGTACCACTGTGAGATTGAGTTAGGTAGACTCTCTATGTAGTTTTGGGAGGGAGATGGCCGACCAGGCTGAAGAATTTATGAACGTTACGTTAATCAGAAACTTGATTCTTGAATTAGTTTAGTTAAATTAATAAACAGTGACACGCACTGAAAAATATTAGATTGTAGATAAACTGAACCTATTTGGAGATCCAGTTCTCAGCAGTACACATTATTAGTATTTCTTCATTACACTTCTGTTATATACTGTTTTACACATATTTTGAATGTCTTGAATGTCTGTCGTATAATGTTAATATTATTATATTTATACAAGGACAGAAACTATCCAGGGCTGCCATACACACTACTCTTTCTCACACTTTGAGAAGTTGATGTTGCACTTGCATCATATTAGAGTCCTTATTAGTTTAATTTGTTTTTTAGGTTGATCTTAAAGGACCGTTGGGTAGCAACCAGAGTAAAATCCCATCCTGTCTGACCAACCATATCTGATTTTTGGATGAAGACAAACACCAATAAGCCAGTGAACATGTCAACTCAACAGCTCTCCCTTTACTTTAGCATGCAGCCTCAGTGCTGTACCTCTTTCCAGAAGAAGAGTCCTGTCCGATGTTGTAGGCCAACAGAGCAGCAGCGGGCTCATGGATGAGCCTCAGTACATGGAAGCCTGCAGCCTCAGCTGCCTCCCTGCACAAGACAAACAGAGCGGTAACCTTTATTAAAAACTACAAATGGAAAGACTTTCACTGTCTCATAACAAAATACTAAAGCTGTAGTGGATCGGTAGCTAACGTGGCTAAGTCGAGAGGCACCTTGCTGGAGGTGTCGCAACAATCAAGAGGGAGTATCGACGCTTCAGTGACATAGAGCCAGAGCTGACTGAGGCGTTTCTGTAAAAAATGGGAGCGATCATAAACTTGCCTGTTTATTTATCAATGCATCGTGTGTGTGTGTGTGTGTGTTGCACAGACTACCTTTCATTTTGTGGAAGATGAGTTTTGCAGAATCCTCTGGAGCGACATACTCTGCGTGATCTCCTACTGTAATCTCATAATAAGGCTTCTCTTCTCTGTTGACAACCTGAACACAGCAATCACTGGTTTACCACTGCTGTCAACTGTTGTGTTTTCAACAAGTATTTTCAAAACTAAGATAGACAGATAGACAGATAGGATAATATACCGATAACGATGATACGATAGATAGATAGATAGATAGATACTTTATTTATCCCGAGGGAAATTCAAGAGATAAGCTATTGTGCTTCTTACTGAAGATAATTGATAAAACCTGTACAACTATCAGACCCCGACAGTTGTTGGACTATCACAGACATTGATATAGATAGATAGATAGATATAGATAGATAGATAGATGATAGATAGATAGATACTTCAATATAATATGGCGTACTGAGGCAAAGGCGATATATTGCGATTTTTAGTATACAATTTTAGTATAAAGAGCTTAAAAAGTTGTATTCCTAATGCAACCAGAACAGTGAGCTCTGCATTTGTATCCATCACAGTCTCTGTAACATCCAACATCAAAGCCCATAGTTTCTGTTTAGATATTAAACATCGGACAGACCCCGGCTCAAGGTGGGTGGCCGCCTGCCTCGAACGGTTGGGGTTAGAGAGAGGGGGGTTAAGAGGGTAGAGAGGTGAGGGGAGGGGTGGTAAAGAGAGAAGGACATGGACAGGTGCACAACAACTACACTAGTAGAAATAACTAATGATGATGACGACAACGACAACAACAACAACGACAACAACGACAATAGCTACAATGATGGGGATTGATGAATAATAATAGTAATAATAATAATAATAATAATAAATTAGCAATAACAATGTCAACTAGAATTGATTGACAATGTACATGCTCAATTATGTAACATATTAAAGAATATTTGTTTAGGAAAGCAGCGTTCTAAGTACCTTTGCAGAGAAAATGTCTATTTTCATTCCAGCTAGAAAATGTCAGATTCATATAGATTATCTATTCTAGGAATTCTACCCTCTAGAGTAGTATCATTATCCAATATCCCATATCAGTTGGGCTTTAAGTATGAACAGCATGAGAAAAATTTATGTTAATAAAGGAACCATCATTTCAGAAATTTGGGGGTAAAAAGCTTAAAAGAAAAACACGGAGTGGATCTGCTGAACTCACCTGACACTTGGTCTGTGTTTTGTGAGCCTGTGTCTCTGGATCACTAAAGCTGCACATTGAGACACAGAGAAACATAAAATCAAAATCTCTAATTAGTAACATACTCTTTATTCTCTTGCTTGGCTGACAGGGTCGGCCAATCGGATGATTGCATCAGTTAATCAAATGTTCTCAGAAATGACATTGTATGAGACACCACTGTTTAATTCTTGGTAACAAGTGCACACAGTGCAGTTAAAATCCATTAAACTTGTTACTGATGTTACATAGAAAATAAGCCAATTTCAAAAATGGTTGAAAATCCATCACAGTATGGATTTAACAGCACTTTCTGCCTACTGACACATTATTTAGACTTTAATATTCAACAAGTGAGCCAAACTAACATGACACTGAATCTCCTGTAGTGTTAAGAATACAAACAGTATTAAGGTTGCCACCTTCTTCCCAGCACTTGTTTCACTTTAACAACTGTGTTGGCAGCATTGCGGACCCGTCCTTGCTTTGCTGCAATACCTACAATCTGCAGAAGACAAAAATAAGTCAGAAAGCAGACTGGCAAATAAACATATATGAGCCAAATGCCAAAATGATTGAGGCTTTTCAGCTGCATCGCACATCTGTCAACACCATAATAATCTGGCTTCGTCAAGGGAGGTTTAACAGAACTGGGAGATCAGTCCCTCCAGGGCCGCCGGATTTCATGGCAGCTTTTCTGAAAACATGCAATGCATGTTTTGCTTCATGAAAGACCCTCAGGTCATGCGGTCTTTGAGAAAAACGTACGCGAAAAGAAGTATAGCATCATGGCGTACCTGCTCAGTGTCTCTGTAGGCCACCACAGCTGGAGTCACTCTGTCTCCGGCATCATTAGCCACCACATCCGCCCGCCCATCCTGAACAACACACAAAGATTCATTAGAGACGCTTTTGTTCCAGGAGATCCAGGCTCTGTGTTAGCTATATAAAGCCTCATTTCCAAAGCTTAGCCAGGTTGCCTCTTATTAACAAATAAATCAATAATAAATACTGTAAAAGGACCAGTGTGTAGGATCTAGTGGTACCTAGTGGTGCAGTTGCAGATTCAGGCTTTATGACCTACACTGCAGTCACCAGGGGGAGATTGACATGTTGTGGCTTCACTTTTGGAGAGGTGTCATTCTGTCCATCCTTATATAATGACAGTGATCTAGAGCGGGGCTACCCGAAAATGGTTTTAAAAATGATGATATCCAATCTCTGTTCTGTGCATTGAATGCTCTTAAAACATGTAGGACTCCTAATTGTATTTTCGTAATCTGAGCGGGCTGAGTGACACTGTACCAAGTTTCAACTTTGGCCCACCAAGGCACCCCTATCTAGAGACAGTGTTTAATTAGCAACCATTTGAATATGGCTCAGCCTTCCAAGCATGTAGATAAAACTACAGAGGCCAAGAAACTCCTAAAAATATATATATAAAAGGCCTTATCTAGAGCCAGCGTATGGTTTGTCCATTCTGGGGTACTGTAGAAAAATGGCGGACTCCAGAGGCGGACCCACTCCCTCTGTAGATAAAACGACTCATTTGAAGGTAACGTAAAGACAAGGTGTTTATGCACTATATTCAAGACATACCAATGAATATTTTATTCCACTTCTGACAATAAATCCACCTAAATATTTCACACGGGGCCCTTAACAGGAAGCACCAGTGAGACATTACTTCAAACAGTGTCTGTGTACATCCCGGCGGCATCCTGTGCAGCTTTTCTTCTTTAAAGCTACATCTGAACCACTTGAACCTTTATTGTGGATCACCTTACGTTCATCTACAGTTATAATACACTACCGTTACGGAGCTACACCACATCAATGACTTCAGTGGTCGCACTGGAATGTAACGCTGCTGTTAGTTTCAGGCACTGTGGTGTTGAAATGAAGCCCACACTGTGTTATCGACGAGAACAACGAACGGCGGCAACTTCAACTGTAACTCACCTTAAATATCGCCACACAGGCGCAGGTATATCCGAAGTGAACTCCAATCGCTGCCATGTTTGAAGATTGCAGGGCAGAATCCCACGCGCATGCGGCCGGTATTCCGCTCCCAGGATCAACTTCCGGTTGAACTCTATCAGAACAAAAGCGTGGTACTTCAATAAGCCCCTACGAAACTCAACTAAATAACAAAATACAACGAATACTTAATTAATATGTATACTTTCTCCAGCAATTCAAAATATATGATTATTTTGCTCCTTCTTTTCACCAAATAAAAAAAGTTATGATCTTATATTTAAACAGACATCTGAACGTGTATCTTCACCTCACATTCAAAAACATAAACCAAATATTATCCTCTTGTGTTGTGTGTGTATTGTATTGTTTTGTTTCATTTTTTGTCTTAATGCATAGTTATTCATTTATTTTCTTAATCACTAAATAGCCTGTCTCGGAGGTAAACGTACATTTACATGCCGAATTAAATTATAAAAACATAATAATAATAAAAATAAAAACTCAAAATCAATATTTTCAGGTAAATATACCAGAAAAAAAGTAGGCTACTGATAATGCCGGAAAACGAGCTATGTCAGTGTTCTAGGCCATTATTTCGTTTACTGCTTGTAATGTAGTAGTTGGTGGAGTTTAAGATAGTATATAATAAAGTGGGTAAAGTGTGGTGACGGAAGTCCTTTGCGGTGTTTGGCTGGGACACTGCAGACCTATCTAATAATAGACAGGCTACCATGTCGCTGCTGTCCCTCGCCTTTCTGCTGTTTTTCAGAGGGTTTACTTTTTCTGAGGCAGGCAACTGTGAAGGTTAGACTGCATGGTGTGAGCAAGTCGTCTACAGTGGCTATTGTTTAGCAACACTGTGCTGTATTTTCAAGTCACATTAATATTTGAAAAATAATTAGCCATGCGGTCACTCTGTTCTCCCACCATAATCGGCCCTGCATGTGTGCGGTAAACTAGGAGTGTTATAACAGTGTTATAACATTACATTCAACATGTCAACATGCCATGTGTCTACCAATGAAAACACAGACTCATTGTACTGTAACAGATATAAGATGAGGAGGGGGGATGCCACCCCCCTTGTTAACCAAAACCGGCTCCCTGTTGGTGGAAAAGGCCATTTAGTGTAGCAGAGCTCAGCCAGACAAACCCTTTTCTCTCAGTCCAGCCCTTCTGTCATTTTTGTCTTGGATCTTTAATTCTCTAAACTATAGCTTATATAAAGAACCACTATTCTCTTTGCTAGGGAACTCCCTCTGGGCCACCCCCCTGTTAACAGACAAATGTGAAGCCTCTTGTGTGTGTGTGTGTGTGTGTGTTTTCCATAAAGTCCACAAATAAGCAAAAGTGACAGCAGCCTGCTCAGCCCTACTAACAGTGAACTGGTCTGCAGTGTGTGTGGGCTTTCTCCATAGACTGTATGGCAGTCTGACCTCAACCCACAGAGAACTCACTCCCAGCCTGGTGGAGGAAGAGCTGATCCAGGCCTGCAATAACGCACAGGGGAAGGAGGCAAGGCTGGTGAGAACATAGACACAAGCATGGAAACACAACTTTCAACAAAAACTCCGGGACAGTAGAGCTAGCACCCCATCTCTAGTATCTGTGTTTGCTGGTTCAGTTCACCACAGTCCAGTCGAAGTGTACTTGTATCGCTCCTCTGTCTCTGCCATCACTGTGTGAATGTGTAGTGTGTAAAGCAGTCCACTTACATGTCATCAGCATGAGCCTCAGAATCTACCCATACAAATGTACGTCCAGGATACTGGGCTGATCAAAAGTATTTATATGCTGTCCTAGTGTTACTACCTGGGAGCCAGTAGTGATGCTGCAACCCGTGTCATTGCATCAGTGTCTCGACCTCTGGCCTCTCATGTCCCTGTTGAGAAGATCTGCCAACGCCTCAGTGGCAGAGACACACAGATCTGTCAGCTTACATACGGTAAAGCTTATTTTTACAACAACTGACCATTAATGTGTGTGAATACAATATAAAGACTACGTCGGTGTTTTGTGGTTGTCTGCAGAGCCTCAGCTGAAGGATCTGAGCAGTGATGGCCTCAAAAAGCTGAGAGTCGCAGAGCTGAGGAACATCTTAGCCTCATGGGGAGAAGAGTGTCGGGGGTGCCTGGAGAAACACGAGTTTGTCAGCCTCATACAGGAGAAAGCGCTACTGCATGCTCACAGTATGGAACTATAAATAGGAATTAATATATAATGTGGAATAATTTATCCACACAGCAAAAAGGCAACACACACTTATATTAAACCATACAGACCTTGTTAATATATTTCACTATGTCACTGGAACGTATTTGATTGTTCATTGTTATGTTGATACTACATACTGCAATGCATTACTGTTAACTAATTCAGGTTCTCAAATTACTTCATTCATATATTAAATAAATAATGACAGGTCAGAGGAACAAACTGCGACAACTATGTATTTCCACTGATGTGCAGCTGACTGATAGCAGCATGACCAACCTTAGCACAGATTCTTCATCCATTCATTTTACCTCCACTTACTATCTTGCCATCACAGTTTAGCTCATAACTAATCATGGATAAGATAAGATGTAAGATAAGATGTTCTTTTATTGATCCCCTGTAGAAGAAATTCAAATCAGACATAGCAACATAGGGGAATGTAGTGCAAAACGTACAGAAGTGTAAAAATACAATAAAGTATAGATGTATAGAAAATATAATAGAAAATATAAGACTATTAATGAAAAATATATACACATGTATGTATTGTATGCTACGCAATCTCGGCACAGTCTCATTGTTTAAGTATCATTTTTAAGCTTGCATAGTGGTACAAGTAACATAGTTTGAGAACCAATGCTTGATAACATTTTATGAAACAGTCAAAAATGGGTGACATCTTTAAATGTGCTTGTTTTGGAGGACAAGCTCTCTAAAACCCTTACAGCGATATGAAAAATAAAAATGACAAACAGTATATTTTAAGATGAAGTCAGTAAATATTTGATGTTTGATATTTTAAAGCTTGATAAAAAAAATTGTTGCCAATTAATTTTCTGTAATTTTGACTGTATTTTGGAAGAAAAAATGTATTATTTTGTGTTATATTTTCCCCTATACTGGGCTCTGCAGAACCCACAATCTCTTGTTTCATTTCACAAAAGAATGCAACTGTACAAGAACTTTGTCTAAAGAATATACAGGCTAATCTGATCAAAGAATGATGCCTACTTTCAGTACCAACACATTACAGTCAGGGGCATATCCAGAGGATATTATCTTTACCTCTTCCACTCCACACTCAGAAGTCTTTCAGAGGCTGTAGTGGGCTAGAGTGAAGATACCAGTATCATATCAAACTAGATGACCTAATGCATCCATTCTTACCAAGCCTATGAGGAAGGGGATTAAAAGCACCAAAGGCAAAATTTTGGTGATGGAAAAACTGGCAATGCCATTTTCAAAGGGATCTCTTGGCCTCTCTCAAGATAATGAAGTGGCAAGTTCTAGGGGTACCCAGGATTTTGGGCGTGGAATAAATGTGTTATTTTTGCCTAGTGTATTTGTATATTTCTGCATACTGGGGTCCAGTCAGTGTCACACTTGTCACACCCCAGTCAAAAAAGTCTGGAGGTTTAATACATGGCCCTATATATGTGACCCATATCCGAAGTTGCTGAAGCGGCTCGGGTTCGAGTCCGACCTGCAGCCCTTTGCTGCGTGTCGTCCCCCCTCTCTTTAACCCCCCTTTCAAATGGGGGCATGAAAAGGCCCAAAAAATAACCTAAAAAAAAAGTACAATTGTTGTTGTGAATCAAACATAAAATAGAATATATAAAAAGTAGCAGAAGTGCTTGTAAATGGATTGTCATAAAAAAAGCTTTTGATTATTTAATTTGCCATCAATTCAATAAATTCAAAAAGACTTTGTTACACTGCTAGTATTAACAATTTTTAAGAAGCTCACCCCCTGCAGTACCCTAGAGGTATCCATACGTCCATTAAAGAAACACTGCAGTAGGTGACAAATAGCAAATGTGATGTATTTTTAGATAGGGAGACATCACGAAAATAAATCATTTTCTGATAAGTGGACGACCCGCTCTACCTCCTGAGCCACAGCACCAGTCACAGGGGTCACCTGGTGTTGAATGTTGACAGTAGCCTGTGTGCTTGTCCTTCACTTCTGGCACTCTCAGTTGGATCAAGTCAGGGCAGTCAGCACTATTATGGTTTATGCCTCAGCCAATTCAGTCTTTCATGGGCCTGTTGATGGCCTGCCAGTGGGTCAGCATCTTTTAGTATGTCAATTTGTGAAGGGGGTGTCCAGACCATACCTTGCGGGCACCAAGCTGAGACTTGCCTCCTGTAATGAAGTCTTTCATTAGGGTCCCATATGAGCCTATGCTGAAGCAGACTTGCCGCTCAAGACAACTTTTCTTTTGGCTCTCTGCCCTGCTAAAGGGGTTGGAGAAGCGCATGCTCTCTGTTAATGATGATTGCTTAAGGTGGAGGGTGGAGCGGACCAGTGTGTAGGATTTTGTGGCATCTAGCTGTGAAGTTGCAGTTTACAACCACCTGAATACAGATCAGCCTTCCAAGCGTGTAGGAATCTACAAAATACTGTTTGGTTTGTCCATTTTGGCCTACTGTAGAAACATGGCAGTTCAACATGGCAGACTCTGTAGAGGACATGGATAAGGATGTGTAGATAAAAACAGCTCTTTCTGGAGCACTCTGGTAGCTCACCTGGTGGAGCTGGTGCCCCATGTACCCAGATAAATCCTTGCTGCAGATGCCATGGGTTTGAATCTGACCTGTGGCCTTTTGCAGTGAGTCATCCCCTTTCTCTCTCCCACATTTCCTGTCAATCTTCCACTTAAAGGCTTTTTTTTAGCTCATTATATATTAATGAAAACATACCTATGAATATTATATTCTGTTTTCTGCCAACAAATCCTACAAAAGGTTACACACTAGACCTTTAACAATAGTATGAGAGCCTGAACCAACACCTCTTTACAACAGTTTCAACAAAAACTGAACTTTCTTCATGGAGGTAGGAGTTATTGCAGGACTGCTGGCTTAGACTGACTTAGTTTTAGCCGTATGTACCTAATAAGATAGTGGGACTAAGTGTAGATTCCAGTGACGAACAGTGTTGGAAGATCCTTTATTTCAGTGAAAGTAGTAACCACAGTGAAAAATATTCCATTACTAGTAAAAGTCATTCATAAACTTAATTGTAAGTACAAAAGTATTAACAGCAGAATGTACTGAAATGACACAGAATGTTATATCATTATATAATTCTGATAGAGCATGAGGTACATATAGGGCAGTGATCCACTTATTACAACCTTTCTCTGCAGAACCAGCACAGGAAGACACATTTTTCTGTAGTCTACTGTTTAACTGCTGGCAATTAAAAATATATAACTTTTATTTACAATGGTTGCTGTATCCGTCACTGGTGGTGAACCAAGTTGTTTTAGTCTGGCACTCCATCTGCTTTCATTTCTGTGGTTGCTCTGATGTTTACAAAAATGACCTGCTGTCAGACTGTAACAGAAAGTCAGCTCTCTAACTGCAGTCCTGTCTCAGGGAACAGTTCTCCTGTGTGAATCAGCACTATGTCAGAAAGAATTTGTTCCTTAGTTCAACCTTGGCTGCATTTTCCACCACACAGAAGTCAGCTGAAACACAAAACACAGCTGATTACTTTCATTAGTTAAACACGCGCACACACACAATTACACTATATGCCACGTCATATATAAATACAAGTGATTGCACCTGTGAGGATGTTTTAGATGTTCCCCTGAGCAAGATGGAAGAATTTATCCACAAAGGTCCTCTTGTTTATTGAGGCTCTAAGCCATCATCATGATCAGCAGAAACTGACATTTATATACAATCAGCAAACAATATAATTGCATGATCTAATAAACTGTGTCTCAAACTATGGTACATGTAGCACTGGTGGCACATGAGCTGCTTCTAGTGTTACGCAGAGGAATCTGAATGCATTTTAGACGATAAAATGTGACCATATGCCGGTCTTAGAAGTTTTTAAAATCCTGCTAATGTAATGTGGAATTGAGTATCTAAACAGCACTTACTCTGAGAACTGTCCGGTTGTTTAAAGCCGTTGGCCCTGCAGTCCTCACAGGCCACACCACTGGTCTCTGCCGAACAGCTGCACTGTACAGGCCAGCTGCTGTACAGATCTGCTGCTACCTCACCATGAGCACCCATACTGTCACTAATATATGTCACCTCTGACTGGCTGCATTCACAGGGCCCTGTGCTCTGTGTTGGAGAACAAGGGAGGCTGCACTGTTCATCATGCTCCACAGGTATGGAGGATGAGAGGCTCTGCTGGGCACTAATAGGGGCTCCATCACCTAGGCTGTGGGGTTGGTCAGCAGGAGGACAGCTAGGTGGAGGAAGCAGCTTGCTCAGTGCCAGAAGTACCTGAAGAAGGTTCAGTTTTAAAGCATTTATCTCACCCACAGTCACATTAGTGCTTCCAGCTGGAGAATAATCATACACAACCAACACACAATAAAAGATTATCAGAGATATCATTAGTTGATATTATTAGTACAGTAACCAATGCAACTATCACATGCCTTCAATTCCATACGTAAGTAATGTGATAGCACCTGAGCCAGATCTGTCTGCTGAATGAAGACCATGGGATGCAGTGGAAAGCACCACAAGCTAGGATATGGATTTATTAGCTTAGAATATTTTGTCATGTATACAGTTCCTATAGTGCTCACATTCTCCATGCTTGGCCTGCTGCGGGGGCGGCTAGCAGTGCAGTCCAAGGCCAGACCCAGAAGGCTGAGAGCCATTGCAGTTGGCCACCGACCAGCTGCTGCATCCAAAAACTGCAGACAAGAGTCCATGCCACCACTGTCCTCCATCTCAGTCATTAGCAAATCTCTCTGACAGAGCAGACAAACAGACAGAGAGACAGACAGGGGCAGATAGAGCATGTAAAAGTACAGCATATCACTAGGTGCTAACATTTTGATGAACATTCTGTAGGTATCTATACCTATTAGGGCTGTAACGGTTCATGTATTTAGCCATACAGCGTTATCAAATGATGTTGGGAGGTGGAAGACCCACCTGTGACCCTTAAAGAAGCATTTCACCCGTGGAAACATTAATCTTTATTGAAAGTGGGTTATATATGTAGTCGAAATGTAACATAAATTTTGAATTTGGTGCCTATCGTATCTATCTTAAATAATGGTGATTGTTCATTCTCCCTTTCTAAATTTATAGGATGTTGTCGGAGAGAGAGATGGTAAGGACTAATTCTTTTTTGACATTTCCGCGTGCCTAATTCTTGACCGGGGGGAAAAGAGCTGTTGGTAGTCTCGGGCCTTACAAAGAAAGGATATGGGGACAGCTTCTGCTTCCAGTTTGGATGCAAAATGACGATTTTTATACATCATTGGAGCAATGGAAGTGCACACCTGAAATCCGTTTTCTCCGTCTCAGCGGACAAATTGGAGGAATGGGGTGAAGTGTCCCTTTAACTCAGAGAGAGTTATGGATAAGATTAGGATGTGTCGGCTTCACAGTTGTAGGGTCTTGCATCTAAAATGCTACAGCTCAATACAGTGCAATACATAAATGTTTGGGGGCTTTGAATGTTTAAATGTAGCCAAGGTGGAACTAAATGATGAAACACTCCTCCTGTTTGTGCTGGTTTGTTAGTATTATTTGTCTATATATTACAGCTAAAATTGCTGAGAGATGGAATGAAGAAACATGCTGGAAACATGAAACATGGAATTGGAGTGCAAATCATAGACTAATTATAAAAATATCCGTAGTCTCTGTGACATCCCCCTGTCAGCCCCCTGTGGTCGGCTCTGATCGTCGCCATCTTGGCAGTCCTGAGTCTGCCAGCTCCCAGCTAATCCAAAAATGGACAAGGAGGTGGAGCATGGGAGGAGTTTAGGCAGGCTGAATGAAGCCTAGTTAATGAAAACAGCCACCTGTGACGGCACCCACCTATCACTCAAAAGCGGCCATGTCCTTAATTATGCAGTAATTTAAGTCCTAGCATAAGAGATCCCTTTCAGTTTTATAGCCTGTTGGGACCTACTGCCTTTTTGGAAAGTGTGTTCAATGTTTGTACAGTGTAATGCAGAAATATTTAAATTGTTCATTTTTATAGGTATACTAGTAGTATACTAACAAAAGTAGTTGCCAGTGGGCAAATTGCCCCATTCTGACACAGTCTCACCAAAAACTAAAAATGACCAGCTTCATACAGTACAGGCAGGATTAATTGCAAGGCTGCTGGGAGCATTGACTGCAACAGAACGCAAAGGGGTTCCCATTTCTCTGGCACATCATAATATATTATCTCACCAGTGGTGTTCCCTTAGGTATGTCCTCTTGGACTTTCCGTCCTGTGACTGTTTCCATTACAACCTGAGAGCAAACAAACTGTGATTAATGACATGACAGTGTGAATAATGTTTCAGATGATCAGAAATCATAGTCCAACTTTCATCACATTACAATTTGCTTATTTTATATTATACACAGCACATACGGTGTAGAACACATAACTCCATACATCGATGCAATAATCATCTTGATTTTTTTATAGCCACAGGTGGACACTTATTCATTTAATCTAATTAATACTGAAAAATCTAAAATGATCTATTAAGAAGACAGATCACATTTAATCCAGCAATATGGACTGTCCTCATTCACTCAATTATTCATTTTCCATTCATTTAACTGGATTTCTAATGTTAGTTTTGTCATGGTTAATTATATTATGTCATATCTTTTTGCATTTTCTCATTTACCCTCCTCTATTACAATCTGCTGATGCAACAACCCAAAGCGTATATGATACAAATCACCATTCCAAAGCTGTAAACATCCATGCTGAAGGACAGCTTGCCATCTCGGATGTACTCCTCAGGGAGGTATCCCAGGTTGCCATGAGATTTTGTATCCAGACTGATTGTACAGAACTGATTGGCTGAATGAGGACGGAGATGAGCCATCCCAAAGTTAGACAGCTTGGGCAGCAGGGCTTCATCCAAGAATATGTTAGCACTGTGCAGAGAAGCCACATAGACACTGCGTCAGCTTCTGAACTTGTGGAGTTTGTAAAACTGCCACTGTACAAAGTCACATAGTGTATCCGACATGTGTGTGTGTTTGGTGGCTTGTACCTGGAGATGTTGCCACAGATCACAGGGCAGGGCTGGGCTGTATGGAGGTAATGCAAGGCCTTTGTTATTCCCTTGATAATTGTGAGACGTTCTTGCCAGGACAGAGGGGGCCTTCGATCCTGCACAGTAACAACACCCCATTTTAGATATGACATAGAAATATGTTTTCAAATAGCTTAAAAATAGCCAGACTAACTTAAAGTCCTAGAAAAGTGGATGTGAAAAACCATCACAAACCACCAACCAATTATTTGAGAAACACTCTACTCAGAATCAGAATCAGACATACTTTATTGATCCCTGGGAAGAAATACATTTGTCATTAATATCTTGAAACACCAGAGCGGTTTAATGTATGTGTGCCAAACTAAACATAAAGTTAAACTAAGAGTTGCCGAGCATTAAGGCAGCCATTGAGAATAGTAACATGGATTATGCCTTTGCTCTGCACTATAAGTATGGTTTGGCTCAAATTTCTTGGCATTGAAAGAGTGCTACCCAATTCAAGAGGGAGTAATTCAATTGACCAGCTCAGGCATTTTGGATTTATGAATTAAACGCAATTGAACCTTATGGACTTTAGGATTTTAGCTGATCTTCTGTGACATTAAAACGTAAACTTGTATCTCTCTCTACAGCTAATCTGGACTCTACAAAAAAGATGAGACAAAAAGTCCCCTGACCGTCCCATTTAGTGGCGTAGAGGGACAGTAGGAGTATGTATAGGATATCTGTCCTACGTTACTGAGCATATCCTATTCAGTCAGCTGGACATGGATCTTAGTTTACTTATTGCTATATGCAAAATGGTGTAATTCTTGTCATTCTGTTCGATTAATCATGCTGTTTTTATTTTCCTTGCTGTGTCTGTCTTTTCTTATTATGTATTTTTGTGTAATATGTTTTTTATATACTTTCACTTTTGTAAAATAGATAAAACACTTTGAAAAAAAAAAGGATAACTGGTCATGTGACCCAGATGTGGCTTATCTGTCACACCTGTAACACGTTGTTTGCTACTAATCAATCACAGTAAAGTCACAGTGGTTAATTCTGATTTTTAAAATACACACCCAGGTTAAACAATTAAAATTTAAATGTTCCAGGACAGTAGTTAATTTCCAGGATATTTGGTCGTTTTAATCATTTCCCAGGTGTTTCCATGACTGGAAATCAAGTCTTTAAACTTAGAAAGTGCAGAACACTACTGGGACTCAACTGACTGCCAGGAAGGATGTCATACATCCTCCAAGCAGTTGTGGTTTACAAACAGTACAGGCTATGCCATTATCACATTATAGATTTATTTAAATACCCATATCATAGTGAAAGAGGCAAACTCTGAATGCATCAAAGTGGTTGACCATTCGTGGTCAGATAAAGACTGGCTTTGTATACTCGTGTGATAAGAAGTGGTCTGTACAGAGTACCATTATGAATTTGTGTAAGGAAGTTTGTTTCAGGACGTTATTACACAGTGTTAATTAGTCAGTATTATCATTTCCTCAGTTTAGATTTTTTCTGTTTGTTCTTATTTGTTCTAAAGTTCCGCTTATATTTTGTCATGACAAAAGCCCAAGATCTGCAAAAGCAAAGCCAGTGTACACTGTGCTACAAGTTCACTTCCTATTTTCTGATATTGAAAGTATTTCCTAGCAACTACTTTTCTCTGGCCTAGTAAACAAGTCACAAACAGACACACAAATCCTAATGCACAGACAGCAGAATGAACCAGCAGATATTAATAAATCACAAATGTACCTTATGGTGTAGTCTGTCGAAGAGCAATCCATTGCAGAGGTAAGGATAGACCAGACAGTACCGGCCCTCCTCAGAGAAACAGCACAACGATTCTAAGATATTTGGATGTCGGTACCTGTAACATATCACCACATTAAATATTTAACACACTCTATCATTTAGACAAAGAAAGGTACTTTGGTCGTGAGGGTTGACACATACCAATGATGAATTTCCATTTCTCTTCTGAAGCTATCCCATGCCTTCTTCCAGGACACATTATTTATCTGGAGAATTATAGATAGGAATACATTATGTTACTGTATGACTAATGACTATAGAGAATGTAAACTGATTTTATATAAAAATCATTCAGCACAGAATAGACATTTTCTTTAGTCTTTTGAAAAAAAAAAAAAGTTTCTCCATGAACAAACTGAGCAAAGTCAATTCCCTGATGAATATGTGATTGAAAAACCAGTAAGTGGACATTGCGTTAAGATATTATTTTGTGAAACATTTGTTGTCAACAATGACGCTAAAAGAGCTACAGTGTCAATGAGACAGCTTTAGAGCTCTTGGACTTTTGGTTCACACATATCCCAGACTTGTCTGTGTGCTAGAAACAGAGATCATACAGATATCAGTCTTCTTGAGGGTTTAACAGCAAACAAGTATATTTAAAAAAAAAAAAAAGTCAGATTATTCCTTTAAAACCGAGTTAAGACCAAGGATTTACAATGTAAAAACACTGCAGGGAAAAGTTGCAGCGGTGTGAACTGGTTGCCTCAGTTCTTAGCAAGTTTCAACTTCTCTCATTGCAAATCTTTGGTCTGAACTGGACTTTAAAGTGTTATAGTCAATAATCACCTGTTTAAAAAGCTTAACTGCAAATGTTCTATCGCCCAACTGTGCCCTGTAGAAATCAGAGAAGTGACCCTCAGTGATTCTCATTTCATGATGAAAATCTCTGGTTCCTTCTATGATGTCTTGGAAAGTGAGTATGGGTGGCTGATTTTTTCCAGCAGAGTTCACTGAAATACAGAGAAGGGCCAGTATGAATGTCTTCATTCATGCTTGCAATAATCATTCAATAATAATCATTCAAATGAATCCACTTTACTTACTGGGATATATTGCTTCACTTGAAGATCTTGTCTCTAGTTGGACAGATTCCTTATCAGAGAAAATAAAGACAGGATGGCTATTTATTCTTTCTACTGCTCACAGGTCATACAGGCTGCCTCCTATCTCAAGACTAAACACATTCAACAACGGATCAAACAATTGTACCCTTACTTTATTTGCTGACATCTGCTCTGAGGACTCTGCATGTTGATTGCTGGGTAGCAAAGGTGACTCTGAAATAGATAGATTGCGCAAATATTAGGTCAAAATTCTATCTCTCATGATACCTGGATTAGGGCTGCACAACAAGGTAAAAAAATATATTGGCATTATTTTGTTAGATATCTAAATTTTCAATTTGACTGAAAAAAAACCTGATTATGTGACAGTAGCAGCATTTAGCACTACAGTACTTTATTATAATGGTGTTTGTCACACTAAACTGGATCAACATGGTTTGCTGACGTCAGTCATGTGCTGCAAAGAGGATCCAAGAAAGGGCTTTAAATTTCCTCTGAAATTTTCCTCCAAAACTCATTAACTTTCCCAGGAAGCAATGGAATACCAGGAGGCAATTTTGCATTAACAATAATTGGAGTTATTGGAGCGATGGCAAAGCCCATTGATCAGAAACTAATTCATTCATTCACA